GACAGTGTGGGGCCCACCGATCTCCCTTGACCCTATTACTACTCGCTGGAGGTAGGTCATGTCACGAAAGTTAGTTAACGAGATAGTTTTCACCCTTAACCTCATCGACTCTGTCCGCGGGCTACTTAACCGAATCCTGATACACTTTCTTAGCCAGTCTGACTCCCACTTTCACTTCTTCGCACTTTTTTCCTTAACCCCCCGGGTCCCCACAGAACTTGAAATTCATGCCTGTGAATACTGCAGCCAATTATTCAACTCCGACGCCGAGGTCCAGGAGCACACTCAAGAAGCCCATGCTGGTGAGCTTTTTTGCAGGAGTTTGCGTCAGAAGCACACGCGTAGGCACCCCCCTTCCGGGGGGTTTACGGTCTCCCTTAAATTCCCTTTCCTCTTTCTCTCTTCAGCTCATCTGGCGGGAACTTTCACGTGCAAGAAATGCGGCCTTCCCCTCAGAAGCCAGTGGTTCCTTCAAGTTCACGCTAAGACGAGGCATCCCCGTAAGTGTCTTCTTTTTTCGTACTGTTGGGAATAGTCAGGACACTTTCCTCAGGTGTTTTTGCTCCTCCTATTTTGCGTTGCTAACTATAAAACCCATCTCTAAGGTTGTACAGTGGTGAGGAATCAGTAGTTTTGAACGAACTGTTGACAGGGAATGGTCGGTGTCATTCTGTGGCAACCAGAGTTCGAATTAAAATCAGAATAACCTATAAGCAGTGTTATCCTATGACTCAGAATAACCTGTTTTGGACGTTACTCGAATGCCCATCTACAAGACGGGTTCAAGCTTGTTGTTGATAATGTCATGTAGGCCGTGATTGAATGTTCTATGTGACATGTGCGCATTTATTTCCTCACTTTAATCAATCTGATACGCTTGAAACTATTGCGGGGCGCTAAAAGCCGTGGGGCTTGGGGGTTGCCAACTGACGAGATAACTTGGACACCGCAGTCGGTCCAGTGTGTATCTTGTTTTGGTGGAGGGGCTAACTAGCGTACTGAGAGTCAAGCTGCGATGGTCCCTTCTTAATGTGGCCTTTATGGCGCTCGCAGTCGGAGCCTACCTAGCGAGGCGCGCTGTTTGGTACGCGTGTTGAGTGTTGTTCGCGACAGCCGCTTGCGCCTTCCCCCATCTCCGGCCTTCTTGACTTTTGTCTTGACACCGGGTCGCGGTGTCGGAGTGGTGAGAGAGTGGGGTGGATTCTCGGCGAATCTACTTTCACTATAATCTCGTGGGAGTCACCGTGTTGCTTCAACTCCTTGAAGCTCGTGGTGGACATTTTTGAAATCGACGGCCGAGCTTTCGGATGTGACCTTCC